GGCTGAATTGCACAAAACGCATGATCGCACCGGCTAGTCTGGTGCGCGTTGCCATTTATTTGAAATTATTACAGGCGTTCAAATTCTCGCTTTACTAGATTTAGCTGTGGAATCTCGGAAATTTCTGCTGGGTTTCCAGTAAAATAAAGTTTTTATTAAATACCTGGCTGCATACATCATGGAACAAGGATTTATAAGCTGGAATACGCTAAGTTTGTAGTCGCAGCAGCAAAACAGCGAATATATTAGGACCGCGTAAATTTCTGCCGTTGAACGGTGGGCCTATAACCATTCGTAAACAGGTTTGCTAAGACTGTGGAGTTCCAACAGACAAAGTGCGGTACGGCATATTCTTCATGAAAGGTGCTGTTAAGATAGGCATCACTTCAGGCTTTCCTCTTTGTTTCCCTTCCAGAATTTTCCTTGATGATGAAAATAAAAATAAGAAATGTAACTTATAGTCAGCAACTGGTCAGTGCGGGACTTCGACCACTATGGCAATCCAGGTTTTTGCTGCGGAGTTGCGTGGTTGCTAATAAAATAAAATGCACCCTCGAAAGATTTTTAAGTTGGCAAAGACAATATAACGCAATACAAGGCAGTGTCTCATCAGCAGTTGAATTTGTCAGAATCAGATAGATCCGTATCTTTGCTCCTTTTAAAAGGACTTTTTCGGGACAGTCCAAAATTAGACAATTCCATGAAGCGGTGTTCCCCTCTTCCAGCTAGATCGGGTGACTACCCTCGCCTCACCGTAATTCAGTGTAGCGCGTCTTCCATATCTTGTGTCACGGTTGCTTAAAATTGAATTAAATTGATCGTCGCTGTACACATTTTTTTAAAAAAAGTTTTTCACTTCATCGACCCTCTTAATTTATGTGTTTTAGCCTGATCTGTATAGCGGGCGTACTGAGTGCCCCACTGCGTAGCTATATCTTATTTCTTCGTTAAAATTGCGCCTTTAAACCTTGTTTTTGACTGAATTAAGCTTGGCTGAGGGAAAATTTAACAGTGCGTTGAGAAGTGGCGCTGTTGTTGTGCAGAAGATTGAGGGTTCAATTCTGCCAGTAGAACTAACCAGTCTCACTCTGCAATGCGTTCATTCCCTTTGATGATAAATTGCTACTGGCATATAGCCGAGAGCCAAAACTGCCATCAGCTTGCTTCTGAGCAACGTTCGAAATCAGTCATCGACAGCCTTATCAGCGGCTGATTGTTACTGACACTTGTCATCTTCAGTGTGATTTCCGCGCGACTCCGCCTACCACTGGCTTCACTTCGCAACGTCTGACGTCACTCTGGTACCAGAAGGGGAGGAGCGATAACTCGCCGTCTCTGCCCGAACAAGCCACCAGGCGAGCGTGACACTGGCAGGCAAGGTTTACAGACAGGAAGCGAACGGAGAGACAGACGGAGGAGCGCTTGGGCTACAGTTTTGCTTCCTCTCCGGACACGTCGCTGCTACACACAGCCGTGAACGTGACATTTGAATGGCGCGCAAACAAGGGGCGGAGAGGCAGGAAGAAGATGGATGGCACGGCGAGCGTCGGTTGCCTCGCAGTCGCCCTTCGTGCGCGGATTCCACGGCTTGCTCGCACCATCGGTACACGTGCAGGAGAGCGGAAATCGATAGCTGCGCAATGAGGCGGCCGGGCACCCGTTGGAAGCGGGGCACTGGATTCGCATCGGGTTTCTGTGGTACTTGAACGCGTGTCCAAACTACCCCCGAAATCTATAATTCTGGAGCTTGCGGGATGTTTCCGGAAGAGCAGGCTGGTGCTGCCGTAACATCGGTGCACGCAGTGCGAATCAGGCGCAGCTGGCCCGACCAGTGCTGCTCCCGGCCTACGAGTGCATCCCAGTAGCAGCACTAGCATCAAATGCCTGAGGCCATTCGTCAGGCCGATCTTATCAGTTCCCAAAAACAGTAAATTTAGTGATCCTAGCAGAAATGTCGTCCAACGAATCGTCCGGCCAAGAACCACGAGACGAAGCTTGGGAGAAAATTTCACCGGTCAACAAAATAGTAACAACTGTTTATCGCACAGTGAGCGACGCTGAATATCGAGAATGTGTCGAACAGCTGTGCCAAATACTTTCCAAAGTATATTCCTTTTTGCATTAATCAAATATAATATGAGTCGCGTATCGCTGATGCGCTTTTTGGCTGCATTAGGAACGTTGTAATGGTAACAAAATACGTTGCTTCAAACTTTGAGATGTGTACTCCTCATGTTGGGAATGTTTTTGTTTTCCGTCTTTCATCCACATTTATGAGTGGATGCATCAACTGAGCCGCTAGCGCTAAATTGTGGGGAAAATTTCAGTCTGTTAACATGTTTGATTATCGTGGAAGGAGGACGCCAAAAAACTTTTTATCCGCCAACGAAAGGGTGGAAGCTTATTATGCGTTTTTGTATATATGCAAATGCAGAAACGCATGTTGTAACGACCCATGGTTTGCGCGTATGTGTATGTTCGTGTGTGTGTGTGTCTGTCCGGGTATTTCAGCTCGGTCGCCAGGCAAGCTCCCACGCCAAAATTTTGCCAACGGACTCCACCCGAGTACCATCCGAGGATCGCGGTACCAACCCCCACGCAAGTCTCGGCCCTGCATACGACCGCATGAGGTCTTGGCGGAAAATCCGCTAACTCGGAAATAAGGAAAGCTGAGAGGCTGAAATTTTCAGGGGATGTTCTCCATCCACGTGGGATTCAAACATTTCAAATTCAAATCCCAGGTGTGTGTGGTTCTCACGTACAGTCTCGTGAAAATTTTTGGGGGAAGAATAACTAATTGGGAAACCAGGAAATTAGGAAACTGAAATTTTGAGGAGACGTACCCACCCCCTGTACAATTTAAAAATATCAAATTCAGCCCCCAACTGTGCGTGGTTCTTAGTACAGATCCATGAGGTTTTTTGGTGGGGAAACTGCTAACCCGGGAACCAGAAAGGACGGAAGGCTGAAATTTTAACGAAATTTTCCCCGTCCGAGTACCACGTAGCTGCACAATTAATTTTCGAATTTCGAGGACCCGGTATGTCGCAATTTCTACTGTCTTTCGGTGCGATCTCACTACCGCATGAAATATTACAAAAACATATGGTCGCACGGGCCTTCCTGGGGCCTGTAGCCAATGATTATTATATGCTTGCGAGTTTATACCTAGGCAGGAAACATGCACTTAATAGTACAACCAGCTTCTCTAGTTACAAAGACACTAAGAGTTTTGCTACCTGAAGTTTGCCGTGTTCGTAAACCGAAGATAGGAACACGTGAAAGATGAATTTAACTTTCCAGGACCACACGCGGACACGAAATATTCTTACAAAATTTCAGCTTCCTAGTTCCTATCACTGAGTTGAATAAGGTGGACAAAAAAAAGCCAAACACACACACACAGCATCCCTACATTAAGGGCTTTGCACTGCATCGAGTTATGCAAAAACGCATGAAATTATGCAATATCGAAGCCACATTTGCCAATGTGTATGTGTGCACATATGTCTATATCTATCTCTCGGTCTGTTCAATCACATAATTTAACTTCCGAACCAATGGAAATGTAATTTTGAGAACAGTGTCAACAGACCGGAATGAAGTTAGCGTTCAGTGGTCCTTGAATTTTGACTTTGTTCCGCATTCATCAACCTTTCAGAAATTTTGTTACCCTCAGAGCACTGCTGTATGAACTCGTTGATTGTTCTCCAGCAGTCATAATCAGCGCCAGCCCTTCCGCATCTCCACGCAATTGCGCTGAGCACCACCGTGTTCTACGACGATGAACATTGGCTGCTTTGAAATTGTTAGGGCGTTAGGTATAACATCAGTGCCGTTCCGATGTCTTCGTTAATCAACATTAAAAATAAAACGAAAATTTCATTTTTTTTTCGCTCACGCTTCTCTATCTCATCTCTTAGTCTCATAAAAATCTTATCAGCCTCTAAGACTCTTTCAGCCACTATTCTTCCACCCCACTATCACAGTTACAGACGTTTTTAGTTTGCTGTTATTGTTCCTGTTTTCCGAGAAACTTTCCATATGCTACAGTCATAATGCCACACTAGTGTTCTCATTTGCTGTCTATTATTGCTCATGATTGCAAAAACCCGTGAAATGGAGGCAAGGAATATGAAGCTGGAACAAGGAATCCGTGTCGTGATTTGATTGAGCCCCACTGCAGTTCATGTTACGAAAGCCTTTGGTTATTTATGCAGCCCCAAAAACGGGCTAACAACAGGCCTTACAGCCCTAATAGACGTCTTTGTCTATCAGTGGCAAAAGTTGGGCCACAGACAGAGAAAGACGAACTTGGCTTAAGTTGATCTGACCAAGAACACAACGAGCAGAAATACGGAGTGACGGCTAGTTGTACATCAACAGATTCATTTAAAGAAGGCAGAAAGCACCGTAAAGGTGGTCTGGAGGCAATTTGCGTTCTTATAGACCCAAAAAAGCTGCCGAAACTTTTTGCAGCGGGAACAACCACGGGCGAAACAGCTAATGCTCGACGCAAAACACTGGCTTCAAAACCACTTGGCCCAACCGCGCACTAACAAAAGAGCCGATCGGTGCCTCGGGTTTTTTGCTGAATGCAGCATAAAAATGCTTCTGCAAGATTCGGCTACTCCTCGCCTTTTCGGACTCATTGTGTCTACAGTCAATGAAGTAAGTCAATTTGATAGAGGCAGTAACATTAAGCGACAGTTTTTCTGAAAGATTTTCAATATTTTTGACTTTTTTTTAGCGTACGGGAGGTTCTAATGAACTTCCAGCGCTCGGGTCCTGTCAGAATGAAAATTGGTTAGGGAAAAAAAACCTAAAATCTACACAATTTTTTGATTCATTTAGCCGAAGTCTAATGTGCTGGAAGCGTTTTTCCATTCAAAACTGGTTGTTAGTTTGCTTTCTAAAGCGATTTTTAAAAAAGGCACCACCGGCAGCATCGCAACTCGCCGTAACTGGTTTCCGCGGAGAGGAAACGACAGAGTACGGAAAAATCCATTTCTGAGTCTAGGTTTTTTCGAATTCCTACTCAGGGTGCATCAGCCTGTATAAATCGATGAATGACGAACATAACATTTCAAACTGAAATGGAAATGAACAGCACACAGATAACACATTTATATAGTTTTTATCATTGATTTGTTGATCTGTGCCTATCTTGGATTATTTTTCATGTTGAGATCAGCTTCGTAAAGAAGTGTGGACACGACATTACTAGGACCCTAACAAGATTGTAAAATTTTTTTTCTGACAGAAACAACACCTCTTTTTCAGTTCCACCGTGCGTATTTCGAAGACGCACGTGCCCACTGTTGCCAGTTGATAGGACTCATTTTCAAAAGCATTGAAAGGACAGAAGCGAAATACGAAGCAATGGGACCTCAAGATGAAGCAAGCCTGCCGGCCGAAGCCAAATCCGTACTGATGAATATTTTGGAGGAACGCAGATTTGATAAAGTCAGTTAAACTCGTTTTAAATGAGAAGGGCAATGATGTAGGATGCTTTTTACACGAAAGGCAATTCCTATCTGGAAACGGTTGTTGCTTCCAGGTTGAGTTTTCAGCTGCAGGATTTGTTTCACAGACTTAATGCACTGAAACATCTTATCTCACTCTCACCACCAACCTTCATTACTTCCTCTTGCATTTGCGCATCCACTATATGCACTTCCAGGGTTGACTTGGAAGCTGCTCTACTTAGCTTTTTTCGATCCGGAGAACGTATTCGCACTAATGCTCCAACCAATTTTTTCGATTTTAGAGTGCAGTTGTTCGTGTCGAAGTTGTTCGTGCGCTTTCTGTTTTTTGCCAGATGAGCGACTTAATGAGATACGATGCAAAATTTGAACCCAACAGTTGTAAGTTATTTCTTGTTTCCTAGCGTCGTTTTACGCTTCCAGCCGTGTATTATCGCGGCTAAATTTCCATGCCTACTTGATTTTTGAAGGGTTTAGTAAAAGATGACGCTATCAGAAATATGGAATGCATTTTAAATTTCTAACGACGTGGTACTGACTGCCAAGTTGCTGTTTCCACAGTGAAAGCAGGACGGAATTTTCACCGAACTCAGCTCCTTGGAATGTTAATGACAGCATGTTTAACTTAGCTTAAAGACAAAAAGGTTTTTGGCCAGAAGCTGGCTGCTTTTTCAAAGCCTTTAGAAAAAAGGAGAAATAATCTTTACGGTGGGTCACTGTTAAGAGAGCTAACAAATATTTTACTCGCAGAGATATTAGCGAAAGATACAAAGTCTTTAAATGCGAAAGTCTGATTTTACTGAGAACAAGCATCAATTTTTTGCTCTAGCGAGTCTCCGCGTGTAGTGTGGGTCGGATGAATGAAAGAATTTTTCACCAGTGATAAGTTTAAGAATTTCAGATATCATCAGTGCACTACGCGACGTTTCGCTCAGTGTACGCAAAGAGGCTGCACGTTGTACGCGACTGATTTCAAAAGTGGAAATTGCTGCATTTGTTTCAGCTATTGTTGAAGAACAGGACAGCGATTTTCGTTACATTGCTTACAACCGTGTAATCAATGACTTGCACGTCCGATCGCTTACGGTAGAGCAGCGCACGCTGTTGTTAAAAATTGCTTTTGATGAGAGCGGTGGTAGGTTTTAGTGCATAATTTTTTTTGATGAAGTTTAGCTTCCCCTCACCAGCACAGTTTCAGGCCTCTGAAACCAGCTTTTCGGTAATTCATTCAGATGATGAGATAAGCAATGCCTCGCCTGGTAAGTGAGAAAGTAAAAATTGTTTCTGCTTGACTCCCCAAAAAATCCTCCAAGGAGACATTTTTGGAAGATGAAGCCAGTCAATAAGGGTGCTGCCAGCACAGCGAAGAAGCGTCGTGAGTTCCAAACCAAAATCCTAGCTTTCGAAGCGTTCATCAAAAACTGTAAGCGAACTTTCTACAGAAGGGCTGAAAATTGTTACTGGATGCATATATATATATACGAAAAGCTAAACTTAGAGCGAATCAAATCAGCAATATTTAAAACATTTTCAATTAAAAATCACAGCTACTGCTGCATGCCAGCAAAAACCATTCTGATACTAGTTTTCGATCTTTTCTAATGACTTCTGCCAATCGATAAAGGCATCGCTTTTATACAAGTAAATTTGATCCCTTTCGACTTGTTTCTTGCAGGAAGTGACTGCTGTAAGTTAGGTGAAATCGTATGGACTTTTTTCCAGAGCCTCTAAATCTCATGAAGGATGAGACATAGAAAATAGTTTTCAGTAGTTTTCTTAGAAAATTGAAAACATTTACCTTGGTTTTTTCTCCCAATGCAAATTTTCAGGAAGGCTGCAAATAATTGCAGAACAAATGGTGAAATATTGGGCAGAGAGGAGCAACAAGTTCCCTGCTTTTAATCTTCTGTCACTTCTCGATTTCGTAAGTGCTCCCCACGCTGTTAAAAAGGTTATAGTTTATTTCATTTTTTTTTTTTTTT